AAAAAAAAAAAGCCCCGAGTATCGGCCAGGAGCGGTGCGGGGGCTCTGCGGGTGAGAGCATCCCCCTCATCCCACCGGGAGATGCTGCCGGGCTTTGGGCAGAGCCTCGGCTTTCCGAAGGAGAAGAGGCCATGCCGGGGATTTGCAAGATTTGTTCTCAGCCCCACACACTGCATATTTTTTTAATTTTTTTTTTTTGCTCTGAGAATGGAGAAGCCAGCAGCCCCCCTTTAGAAGAGAAACCCCCCGGGGGACCTGCAGCGAGAGGCCGCTCGCTCCCATCTGCGGCACGGGGTGGGCTGGCGGGGGAAGGCAGCCGGAGAGAGGCCAACAGCAATAAAATGTGATAACTGTCACATCTGCGAGAGCTGTGGCAATGACCTCAAACTGTCTGGGACTGCACAGCTGAGTATAATATTAAAGCTCCTGCCGCTCTTGGGCCAAATTTCCATTTCCAGCTTGTCTTTGTTTTGGCAGGACCTGGACTACCTGATGCCACGCAGATGCATTCTCAGCCCCCGTAGGTCATGGGGAGTCGGGCTGCTCCTCTCTGCACAGCCACAGGCATCCGAGAGGGCTTTTTTGGGAGCTTTAAAGCCTAGCGAGGTGCCTGGAGCTCATCCATCATTATCAAGCCTCTGACAAGGAAAGGCTTCAGACAGATACGGGGGTTGGAAAGATTTTATCGCTAGGTCCCACTTGTATTGGCCCCTTTTCCCACGGGGGTGCAGGAGGGGCGGGGGGAGTTCACAGGGAGCCCCAACGTCTGCAGAGAGTGGCATCGCCCCGCTTTTCCTTCCCCACCTTAATGCTGCGTGTAACGTTTTAAGGGGTTTTATGGCATGTAAAAAATGATGCTCACTGGACCTGGGCTTACCCCAAGTGCTGGGAACCGCTGTGAGCCGCGGTTCGGAGGATGCCACCAGCCCGAGGGGACTTGGGCAGGCTCGGAGGAGGGTCCGGAGGGACCCTGGGTGTTCAGAGCAAGGAAAACCTCTCAGGTAGGGAAGGGAGCCTCACCCTGCGAGGAAGGAGCTTGGGGAAGTTACCATCAGCAGTGTGAAGCCAACATTAAATGGTTCCAAAGGACCGGAGTCAAATTCTTTGACTCGGAGGAGCTGGGTTTGATTTTGGTGCTCTTCTAGCATCAAGACAGCATCCTAACCATCCCGGCTCCCCTAACGCGCCTTTCGAACACCAGCAACGGACAGAGAAAGGGAAGAAACCCAATGTTTATCTTTAAAAAGCCTGTTCAAAGCCACCCAGTCCAAAGATGGATGGATGTGGCCCCGCAGCCACGGCAGGGGCAGAAGGCTCCTGTCCCGTGGGCAAGAGGGCATAGCTTTACCTTGGCCTTGGCTCGGAAGAAGGGGTAGCTCACGTTGCACACTTTCTTGTTGGGGTGCTTGTCTTCAGTCATGCAGTCGATGTTGATGTCGGTGTCGTCCTAAAAACGGGACGTGAAGTGTCCGTGACACCGGGCACGAGCCTTGTGCCCTGGCTCCTTATGAAAGCAGCAAACACACCCGCGGGGCTCAAAACAGGCTTTAACTTTTAGAAAAAACAACCAGACCAACCCGCCCACCCCACTCGCTGCAGGCTGGGAATCCTTCCCACGCTGCTGAATTTCTAGGGCCCTTCCTGGGGAGGGGCATTTCTAGCAAGCAGCATCCAGCTTTCTGATTTAAATCCTCTTTAGAAATTTAACCGCAGCGGTGAATGAATGAACCCGGTTGTTCTTGGCACTGTAATTGGGAAGAACATTTGTCTCTGACGAGGAGACACAGGGAAGCATCAAGAGATAACACGAGCTATTATTCTGCACAGCCACCGGCTAAGCAGCAATATTGGATTTCCTCATCTCCACAATTACGTTCCCGCTGCTTGACCACCTTCCAGCCCACCAGCCAGGCTGGGGAAGCTCCTGCCCGTGGCAAAGCCCAAGCACAGGCTGGGGGGGGATGGGACACCGGCCCGGCTCTGCCTCCTCCGCTGCCGAGCTGTAGGAACCCTACAAGAGGTTGTAGCCTGGTTGTATGCAGGTGTCCATCCCTACCATGAGACGATGAGCTATTCCAGTTTTTGGCCCTCTGCTAGACCTCGCAAGGGTCTCGGTTCGAGCTGCTGCCACTGGACAAATCCTACCCAGGAGCTGAAACATCCCAGCCCCAGCTGCAGGGAAAATGCCTTGACAGCCATCAGCGACAGCCCGGAGCTTTCTCCCACTCATCTGCTGAGATTATGGACTTTCGGGGGCCACAGGTACTTTTTATTTGGGTCTATGTACAGCCTCCAACACAAACATGGGTTCCCTTCAGTCGGCAATTTGCTTATTTATAAAGAACAGCAGCCAGGAACCCGTTAGCAGTGATGCTTCTATAACCGGCTACAAATACTCCCTCCTGCATGGTGCTTTCGGTTAGCGAGCATCGTAGGGTTTTTTCCCCCCCCTCACTTAATTTGGAGTAATCACTCAGAAAAGGCATTTTTCTTATTTTGTGGGCAACGTGCCCCACAATTTTCCCTTGGCACGGCTCGTAGAAAAACAAACGCAGGACATGGGATCTGCGGGCGGGTATGAAGTCATTGGGGGGATGAGGGAGGGCTCAGCAGCATCAGCATATTTCCCAAACCTCGCTGGGAAAAGGGAGGAGTCGCACCGAGACCCACCGAGCGGTGGGGGTGAAATACTGGGGAGGGTGGGAGCGGATGGGGCGCGATGGGCTCATCCAGGGCACAGAAGTGGCATCGCCCGGCTCGATGCTGAGCTGTGGCCACGTTCCTATTTTCAGCCCGTACTTCCAGGAGTTATAGCTCAGCTGCAAAAATTCATCCCTGACGGGAACTTGGCCATGTGCAGCAAGTATTTTTAAACTATTGGAGTAGAAAAATAAAGAGAGGAATAATTTCATCTGCCTTTGACCTTCTTTCAGGCTCTTAAAATTCAAACGTTTTTGTACTTCCAAAATAAAGAGCCGAAAGGGCTGTAAGTGCTTAGACACTAAGCCCATAAACATGTCTGATTTATGAGGGCTGGAGACATTTTTGGGCTCTGGTTTAGGACGCAGCTTTATCATCCGGCCGGGATTAGAAGGGCCTCTGGAAAGCCCTGGATCTCCCCCGGCAGCCTCACCTTTGGGATCAAGCTGGCGAACTGGAGGTTTCTGGAGAAGGAGATGTTGAGGACCGTGCTGTAGGCGTTTTCGCCTCGGTTCTCCAGCGCCGCCTCCACGGCCACCCTCCTCCTGCTGCTCTCGATGACGAAGACGGAGGTGTCGAAGGAGAGGCTGAAGGCCGAGCAGTCCGGCGGTGCCCTCCGCAGAGCCCGCCGGCAGTACTCCCTGCAAGAGGAGGGCAGCGATGCAGGTGAGCATCATCCGCGCCAAGACCTGGCCCCGGGATTTTTATGTGCACGGTGCATAGGATAGCGCAAGGAAATCCCTGCTCTGCTGCTACGGGAAAAGAAATCACAAATTCCTCGCACATCGGAGCATCGTTTGGCTTGTGATTTCTGGCTAACGGTGCCTAGCTTTCACAAACCCAGTGAGGAGCTCAGCACAGCTGGGATGTAAGGCAAAAACCAGATCTCATACCGTTAGCAAAGGGTAAAGCTGGAGTTTAGTTTCAGCCTGGCTGAGAGCTCTCTCCCGGCAAGTTTATCAGCACAGACTGTAATGGCAGCAGCATCTGCTTTTGCAGACTTGATGGGTGCTTGGGCATTTATTTTCTCCATGAAAAATAAGAAAGGAAAGAGGAAAGGAAAAAGGAAAGAGGAAAGGAAAAAGGAAAGAGGAAAGGAAAAAGGAAAGAGGAAAGGAAAAAGGAAAGAGGAAAGGAAAAAGGAAAGGGGAAAGGAAAAAGGAAAGGAAAAAGGAAAATGTGGGACGGTGCCACCTTCAGAGCCACCTTCTACCTCTAATGGCAGGGCAACCAGGGTGCCAGTTTGAAGGAATAGCTCTATCCCAACAAGTCACCTCAAAAGTGGTTTTCTCGGCAGAAATCACCTCCACGTCAGCTGCTCTTCTAAGGCATGACCCAGCTCCCTCTGATGCTGTCGGGAAAGCTCCAGAGGCTCCAGGGGGAACCAAATTAGAGGTCTGGTACCCCAGTAGATCACAGCATCTGCCCACGGTGATTTGTAGGACTCCAGCCACTAAGACCCGTACACAATCCCTACCGACCGCTCACATCAACCTCCTCCAGCGCAGCCCAGCCCAGCCAGGGGCGTCAGGGCCCTGGACCCCTTTCTGCTCTCAGCCTCAGGACCAAGAGCTTTACAGGAGACACCGAGCAATAAATGCTGAGTTACGGGACACAAGTGAGCCCCAGGCAGCAGCGCTGGTCCTGAGCTTGGTCGAGAGCCCACTGCTGTCAACGGGAGGCAGAGGTTCAGGCTCCTGTACCCCTAGATAACCTTTAAAAGCTCTTTAAGCAATGAGATGTAGCATATAATTATTTCTGCTGCGTCAGTCAAGCCTGTAATTGCCAAGTGGGTAATGCCAGCCTTGCATTTATTCCCCACTGTTATTTACTGATTTGTCTCCCTGGGGCTCATCACCATGGCATCAAATATTAGTTGTTTTGTGGATTCCCTAAAAAAACCCCCGATTTGTTGCAGGGAGCAGGCAGAGGCTCAGAAACCCACTGCGAGCAGAGGTGATGAGGAGCAGCTCGTGTTGGTGTCGGATGAACCTTGCGGTGGTGTTGGATGAAGGATCAGTTGCGATGCCAGAATCTATGGAGGATGGTTTGGGGCTGGGTTTTGAATCCCTCCCAGTTTGTGATACTGGTTGGGAGGGTGCTCCGAGTGACCTACTCACATGGCACTGGGCACATCGCTTCTGGCGTCCAGGACCAGATCAGGGACGCAGTGCTCATCCTCATTGCACCCGTTCCAGAAAGGGACCTGGGGGGGGGACAACAAGAGCAGCTCGGTGATGATTTGTGCCCCAGGTTGTACTCCAAGGAGAAGGGACACGGGAGTTGGTGCCGGGCTGCAGAGAATGCCCAATACATTGCTGTCAGGGGAGGGATCAGACATTACAGCCCCAAGATAAAGAGGTAAACGTTACGTCCAGAGATAAATCTGCTGACTGAGTGCCGGAGAAAAGGTACCCTGGGATGTCGGTGCTGCCACGTACCGAGACCTTGAGCGAGGTGGGCCAGCCATCGTCCAGCATGGGGCCGTTCTCAGGGTGCTCCAGCTCGTAGTCGATGGAGAACGTCACTGGCTTCACGTAGTCAGCCGTGTCCTGCGGCGGACAGAAAGCATCGTTGAGAAGGACAGGGCTCCTGCTTGTGGAGGAACAGCATCAGAGAGCAAGGTAAGGTCGAGCTACGGGCATGTGAGATTATTTGAGGAAATAAAAGCTTTGCAATCTCGTATACTTGGTGTGTGATCATCCTGTCTCTCCAGCTAACCCTTACCTAGGGAGAGGGACAACCTGAGCTCGGCGGTGCTGCTCAACAGCCGTCCACACGTACATATCTGATGATGCTGGAAATGTTTCACCCTGGAGATGCTGGTTTCCAAAGGGGGATGCTCGGGAGGTGGGGGTTGTCCCCAAAGGGGATGGAGCTGTCCTGCAACCCTCACCCAGGGCTCGTCCACCCGGTAACGAAGCTGCACCTTTCCTGCAGCTCTGTGAGCTCTTCCCATGCACTGCCCCAGCCGCACCGGCTGCAGTTAGATGCTTCTTGGGCTAAATCACAAGCTCTATCTTGAGCTCCAGACTCAAATTTCCCAGAAGTTCACCACGGCTCAGGCCAGGGCTTGGGGCTGGGCCAGTCTGAAAGCTCGGCCCTCCCTGGCCTCGGCAATATTCTCATCATTCACTGGGAATGTTTGATTTTGGCCGGGTTTGTGCATCAGCTGTTCCCTGTGAGCGATGCAGAGGGTTTTGTTGGCTCCTGCACCCAGGGATGGGGGACCCTGATGGTTAGAGGGGTGCAGAGGGTGAGAGCATTGGGGATTGGCATGGAGGCATTTGGTTCTCAATGGAAAAAGTAAAAAAAGAGTTTTTCATCGATTTTGGAACAAGAGGACCAGCCTGACTGGGGCGTCAGGAGTGCACGCCCTCCCCAAGGGCACGGCTAGCGGCTGGTGGAAAGGAGCACAGTGCAAACCGGGGTTGCAATGAAGTCAGCGCTCGGGGACCCAGCAGCTGCCGCGTGTCGGCAGCTCCATCCCTGACCACATCAAACCCAGGGTGAAGAAATCCAGGCGTGAGGATGAGGCTCATTTCCAGCCCCACGAAGCCATCGAGGCTCCTCCGACCACATCCCCGCGCATCGCTATTTTGCAGAAGGTGGAGAGCATCTTTGCTGGGACGACCGGCTCTGCCCCTGGGGTTGGCAGAGGAGAAGACCCCAGCCTCGTCCTCCTTCACACTCACCAAGACGTGGAACTGGAGCTTGTCGCAGTGCTCCTGCCCGGCCAACAGCACCAGCTCCTTCTGCGTGTGCCGCTCTCCGCTCTCGTCCAGGTGAGCCCGTGGCGTGTACCTGCGCTCGTCGATGGTGGCATTGTACCGCAGCGCTGGAAGGAGAGCAGCACCGTCAGGGCTTCTCCCCGGGCTTACACTCAACAACACCGGGGCAAGGAATGGGCTTTTGTGCACTCAAACCCCTCTTGCCCCCCCGGGAGCAGTGTGGCTAAGGGAAAAATTGGGAAAATCAGGTTATAGTTAACATCGCCTGTTTCTAAGACACTTCTTTTGGGCAAAGCATCCACTCTCCAGGTCAAACAAGGAACTTTAAAAATGCATTATTACAAGACACTGTGTAAAATCTGTGCAGGATATATAATTATTCCCCTCTTATATATTCACATGCTGGCCTGTACCAGCTCTGGAAGGATAGTGCCCTGGAGCACTCACCTCTCCTAGATGCTTGACTGGAGATCATTTGCTTCCTTCAGTGTTGTTGAAAAGACACCGAAGGTCCCCAACCCAGCGCCAAGCGGGGTGGGATTTGCACTCACTGTGCCAGGGTGATGCAAAAAAGTGCGTAAGCAAAGAGCAACTGTCAGCCCCCAGCACGCACTGACCATGAGGCAGCTCTTCTGGGTAGAAATAAGTGTAAAATTAAATAAACGAAGGAAACCCCACTCAGCTTTTTCTCCTGCAAGCTCCGCAAAGACAGCGGTTAGGAGGAAAACATGGGATTTGATAGGACAAATCAAAATTCTTGCTCTAGGGGAAGGAAGTTTTTCTTTTGGCTTCGCTTGGGACCTGATTTTCCTTTAACAGTGGTTGTTGGGGGGGTTGCAGGGGACTGAGCTGCTATCGCTTCCCCCGGTTCCAGCTGAGTCACGGGCATCCGCCGGGCAGACGCGGGGTCACAGCAACGTGCAAAGCTTTAATAGCAGAGCTGGCCAATAACTTCACAGCAGTTCTCCGGGATATCAGGGAAAGATGCACATCTGGTCGGCAGATGTGTCCTGCCGCTGCAGCGAGGAGGATGGACGAGCTCTGCGGGACACGGTCCGGGCACGTCCTCCCCTGTCCCGCTGGCCGGGGGGGTGGTGGTGACATCCCCGGCACACGTACCACGTCAAGGCAAGCTGCGGGAGAGCCTGGCCCCCAGGGCAGAGGTGAGAGAAGTTAAACATGGGTAAGGTTGTATCCTCGGGGTGTTTCTTGGTGCTGCTTAACGGCAGAGTCACCGTCCCTGCTACATCGGCCAGGATAGGGACAAATTTGTGGGTAAAAAGGGATGTGGCATATGGCAAGGTGCACTCCTCCAGAGATGCAAAGCTCCTGGATGGTTTCCCTTGGCAGAAGCTGGGTGCTCTCTCGGGGCTGGAGACCTAAACGACACACGAACTGGGGCTTTTGTCACGCGAGCAGCCGTGCCGCTTACCCACGCTGGCTGTCTGGAAGTGAGCCGAGAGGAAGACGGCAGTGAAGCAGATGAAGGCCGACATGCAGGTGGCATCCTTCCCATTCCGCTTGCAGTCCTTGGTGAAGATGTTGATTTTGGAGGGCTCGAAGCGGATGCTGGCGTTGATCTGGACCACGCTGCGGGACCTGCAAGGGTCAAGAGACGTCCTGTGGCATGGGATGCCCGCGCACATCTGCAGCATCCTCCAAAAGTCTCCCACGCCTCCAGATTCACCCTTTTCACACCTCTTCACTCTCTTTCTCAACATCAAGAAGGCGCTGAGAAAGACCAAAGGCCACCACAGCATGCTGCTCTGCTCTCAGCTCATCTGTGCAGCATTCAAAGAATAAAATTTTTTGCATGTATTTGCCTCCTGCTTATGCCAGTGAAGTGGCTCGGCACTGAGAGCAGGATTTGGCCCCTTGCGTGCACGTAGCACTTTCCAAGGCAGACCCCAGGGTGGCCCATCTCTGCTGGGCACAGCTACCCTCCGTCCTAACAGCTTCAAGGGACTTTCCAACCATTAATCAATATTTGAAAATATTAAATTGTTCCTACTAAATAAGACCAGAGGGAGCCTGGGCAAATCACCACAAATCAATTAGCTGGTTTGAAACTCCTGGGGAACTGATGATGAAATTCAATGCAAAAGCAACTCTGACATCCTTCTAGGGCCCAACGGTATTGCAATCCCACGGCCCCGCTGGAAAGGGGGTCGTTATTGCGGAAAGATAGCTCAGATTGTTGGGAGATCAGTTTTCCCTCGAAAAATGTCAGCGTGTCGCAACGGAGGAGAATGCCAAAGGAGATAGAGCTAACCACAACAGCACGGCGTTCCCTAGAGAGCCGACGGCCAAGTCTATGAGCCCGTCTTCGTTCAGGTCCAGCTGCCCGTGGATGCTGCATCCAAAATACATCAGGCCTGGCGCGAGGTCCGCAGCTGCTATCCGCTGAAAAGAAAAGGGGAGAATCCAGGCTGGTCCCCGGCAGGAGCATCCCTGCCTGCGACGGAGGGGTTTGCCACGCCGCCCTCCACCACGCTACTGAAGATGCCCCTTTTCCAAGCGATCGTGCCAAATGTAATTTTCCGGGGAGCGAGAGCAGTTTCTCTTTGGAGACACCATCCAGAGATTTCTGCTGAATTTACTCTGCATATTTCCTATTTCTCACAAGCTTGAGAAATGTTTTATCTACAGTAATCCATTGCACGGAGCGCTAAGCATTGCCCCTAATTTCAAGCATGTTTTCTATACCCTATGTTTGCTTTGTCTTGGACCCCTCACAAGAGAAAATATCCAGCGATAATAATTAACACTGCAATACTGTGTGTGAATTTACTGTGCTCTATCAGTCCTTAAAACGGGCACAAATGACATTTATTCTGATGAAGGATGAGGACAACCAAAGCACCCGGGAGCCATACCTGTTTGTACTTCTTCAGGACAGTCTCTTCGAAGCCCAGGAAGATGTATATCGCTCCTTGGTGCTCGTCCTCCAAAGGCGCACCGACGACAAGGTCGTTGTAGGAGTCTTGGTTGAGGTCCGGCACGGCGGCGATGCAGGAGCCGAAGCGGGAGTTCTGGTAGCTCTGCAGGTCTACGAGGGCACCGCTGGAAACGAAGCGGTTCTGCTGGGCCAGCCAAAGAGAAAAGGCAAAAAAAAACCCCAAACCCAAAAATGTCAGCAGCAAGCGTGGCAAGAGGAGAAAACCCTCACAGGCAAGCAAACAAGATGCAGTAAAGTGCGAGCAGTTTCTCTAAGGAAGGAGGTGAGAGCCCTCCTGGGGCCGTGGGACTTTCTGCTCGGCACGTCCTTGGGGGATGGAGGAGCCCTGTGCCAGCCCCCCGTCTGCTTTGCCTTCCTTTTATAGGAACCTACTAAATAATTGCATAAAAAGTTGTGCTTTAGATATGGGGACTCCCATTGCTCCGGGGGGGCTCCGCAGCCTTGGCTATAGAGCACAACCTGCTCACTGCCCCCACGCCCCTGGAGCCTGATGGATTTGGTTCAGAAACTGTGTTCTGAGCCAGACTTGAGGGTGACAGGAAAGCTGGTCCTGCCCCAGAGCACTGCTGGGCACCAGGGCAGGGGACGGGGTGGCACATGTCCCGTCTGTGCCCCGAAGTGATGGTGGAGGGCATCCGAAGGATGCTCTCAACCCCATGCCTGGTCCAGCCTCCGGGCAGGAGGGTACCCTTGCAGGTAACAATTTTGGGGGAGGCAAAGTGGATGGAGACTTTCTCCAGAGAGACACCCACGTTGCAAAGACCCCACCTTGCACCCCGTGCGTCGCCTCCTCGGGGCTAGGAGCAGCAGGACCTCACCTTGCACCCCGTGCATCACCTCCTGGGGGCTGGGAAGCTCCCCTGGCCAGGAGCAGTAAAACCTCGAGACGAGGCAGCTCAGCTCCAGCGCAGGCTGGGCTCCCTTTGCTGGCAGCGAGAAAACCCCTGAGCTTGTTTATAAACAAGGAAAACAGACAAATCCTCCTCGAGTCTTGCCGCAGCCGCAACAGCGAGGTGCTGCCAATCTCTGTTGCCTTTGGGCCGGGCTGCCGTGCCCTGAGACGTTTGATGGAAGCTGGTGGATGCCGGCAGCCCGGAGCCACCCCGGGGAGGTGACACCAGGGGACACGGTTCCCACACCAGCGCCCAAACGCCCCGGCCCCTGCGGGGTCCCGGGCTCACCCCCGATGCTGCCACGTACCTCCCGCAGGGTGTAGACATAGACCTTCCCCCTCTCCCTGCCCTCGCTGAAGTACATGGGGGCTCCCACCAGCAAAACGTCGGTGATACCGTCGCCGTTGACGTCGAGGGAGTTGATCTCGCTGCCGTAGTAGGAGCCGATCTGGAGGAGAGAGAGGAGGGAATGGGAGCAATGCTCCCGGCGTGCAGGGGCACTGCCACCCTCCCCGGCGGGGACCGTGGGGACATTTCAAGCCCTGTCCCTGCCACAACCATGCGGTTCAGAGCTGTGGCTGCAGTGACAGCCAGGGCATCCCCAGCTGCTCGTGGATGCGCTACGCTGCTGAGCCATTTAAACAGAACGATTTGTAAAATGAAGGGGGAGAACTGATGGAGAAGCATGCGTGACACGTGGAAAAATCAGCGCAGCATCCTTGGCAGCGTGTCCCCCGGCATTACCTGCTCTCCCTTCAGTGCCTGGTGGATGGTGAGGTTTCGGTTGTTGTGCATGCTGAAAATGATGACTTTCCCAGTGTGGTTGAACCTGGGTGCTCCCGCGACGTAAATCCGCTCGTGCTTGGTGGATATGACGGAGGAGACGGTGTAACCTGGAAGAGGGGGGTGGGCATGGGGTGAGCACGGCCGAGCAGCTCCCAGCCCCTGCCCGGTGATCTGCTTTCCATCAGCCCCCAGCTGCTGACACGGCTCTGGCCACCTCCCAGATCGGGAAGCTAGAAACTCAGATTTCTTCAAAGATAAAGTTATTCAAAGAAAGCCCAGCGCCCTGACCCTGGGTCCTACCTACACCCTGAGCACTGCAGCTGTGCCCAGAGTTTTGGCACTGCCTCACGCAGCCGGCAAACCCCGTGCAAACCCCTTCTTCCATTGCAGGTGAGTCCAATTCCCGGCCTGATGAGTGTTTTACTTCTTGGCTCACATCAACTCAAACAAACACCGGCGAGGTCCCTGCACGCCGGGAGGCTGCGGCGCCCGCTGCACCTCTCCTTCGAGACCCCGGCAACACCGCGCCCGAAACCAAGCGTGAAAGACTTTGCTGACGCATGATGTTAACATTTACAGTCCAATAAAAGCCACGAATCCGTCAAGATCGTTGCTCACGACTCCGTATGGAAATAACCCTGCAAAAGACCCTGAGCAATCCCTCTGTCCGACCCAGACGGATCATTTTCTGCGCCGCGATCAAGGACATCATACGTCCCATGCTGGGCTGTGGCACTTACCCGTGGTTGCAGCTGGGCTTACGTAGGAAGATAACGCCGGAGCTGCAAAATCCTATTTTTCAAACCCAGTTCCCGGTTCCTGCACATTCACAGTCAGTTTTAGATGCTACTTAAATTATTAGAAACTCAACTCATGGCCAGCCCTGACGCTGGATCAGATCACTCAGGGTCACATCCAGTAGAACTTTGAACGTCTCCAGAGATTATTGGGGTTTACAAACCCCTTTCTCTGGGCATTGGCCTTTAGGGTCTCTATTTCCCTAAATATTCCCCTCCTGGGGGGACATTCCTAAGCCAAGCATCAGCCTTGAAACCTCCAGGTCCCAGCACCGGGTGAGCCGGGCTGCTCTGCAGCAGGATGCACCGGCGTTTCCTTAATGTTTCTGGATTTCTTACTCCAGGCAATGGGAAAGACAGAGCCCAGCTGAGTTCCCACATACAGCCGTGGGTACCCCTTGCACAGCCACAGCCATCCCCACTCCAGGCACTCGCAGCCGAGGCCAGGGGACACCCTGCTGTCACCCCAAGAGATGACCTGCATGTCCAGGGGCTGTTCGTGTCCCCAGCAATTGCCCTGAAAACACTGGCAGGCGACCCTGGAGCATCCCACCCCACTCCCTGCCACGGGGCAGCTCAGCCTGGCATGCACATCTCCGGAGAGAGGCTTCATTTTGCAAACCAGGCTGATATTTTTAATCTGGAGCTTCAACGGCCGCACATGGAACAGATTAACCCAGCAGGTATTTCCTCCCTAGGCATGAAATTTCATCACGGCTTTTTAAACCATTCCCGTAAGCGCTGTAGATGACCCGGGCTGGCCGGTATCTGAGCTACTTCTGCATTTAAATCACTTTTGGGCTGCACGCTGTGGTCGACACTGGACTCTTCCCAGATGAGGATGCTCACGTACACTGCATCCCTGAGCAAGGGGCAACATAGGTCTGGTACCGACGGGAGCTGGCCATCAGCCGGGCACGGTACCACCTACGCCGGGAGAGCTGGCTGCTATTTGACAAATCTGTTGTGCTTCCTATTATTAAGTGTAAAATCATGAATTCAGCCCTGGCAGCAGAGCCTCATTTGGCTTTCTTACCTAAATAGGCTCCGTGATTTTTCAGCTCCTCCGGGAACTCCTGGAGATAAGATTCCCGCAGGGGAATGACCTTCCCGCTGCTGGTTTCCTGCAGGACAGCTCCGTTCCAGTCGTAGGCGCCCACCGCCCCCAGCAAGATCCCATCCTGTGGGCAAACAGGAGTAGTCGGACAGTATTTCTCGCCAAGCGGAGACAATTCTCCATACGGGCAAAGCTGATTCATGCTGAGGCCGAGAAGGCTGAAGAGACCTGATGGGCTGGTTTTGTGTGAGGACATACGTGGGGGTCCCTCAAAGCCCAGCTCCTGACCATCCCCTGCACCCCCCCACCGAGAGCCTTCCTCCACGGCACATCCCAACACCTCCTCTCCAAGAGGTCGTAGCATCGGGAGAGGATGCTGCAGGCTGGTCCTAAGGAAGGCACCGGTCTCCCAGCAGCTCCCTTCCCCACGGGATAAACCAGCAGCATCACCATTTTCTTCTTATGCTCATGTTAGCAATTTAACTTCGTCATTAATAATTTGCCCAAAATATCCACCTCCCCACCTGCAGCGGCTGGTGGTGCTAAAAAGCACAGGATGCTCACTTGCACAGGCAGGAGCACAAAAATAAAACCAACCCCCGTTTACTCTCTTACTTCCACAACATGTGATGAAAATCCCGTCTGGGACATTTCCAGTCCGAAGGAGATTTCGTTCTTGTTGGTTCCTTATTTTAAAAAAAAAAAAAAAAAAAAAAAAAAAAA